AGCGAAGTCGTAGTATATATCGTCACAAATAGAACTGCCCGGTAAACCGTAGGCAGAGAGAGAGAAGAGGACAACAAACGAGGGGCTGTGACAAATATAACCTTGGCATCCAGAAAGTGTGGACAACTACCGTCTTCAACCGAATACAGACGCCCGATCATCATCGCCGTATCTGGACTGAAAGTCGCCCCAAATAAGGCTATAATGACCGGGTGTTCTATTCAGGTGAGGACGGTAGGACATAGGGTTTTGTTATTGAGAGAAACAGTCGCTCTGCGAATGAGAGAATAGCACAACCTTTTTCACTCTACCAACTAGAGAATGGCACCCACCACCTTGAAAAAAGTCCAAAACCATTTTTTTTTCCCTAAAATCATCAGGTCATCATTCCATCATGCATGTCTCATCCCTGAGAGGCTGAGGCCTTTCCAAGCCTAAGACGTTCCACGGTTCCACCGTCTTTTTTTTTTTCTTTCTTTCTTTTTCTTTTTTTCTTTTTTCTCTTTTCCCTCCTTTCCTCGTCTTTCCACTCTGCCATCAGACACAATCAATTTTCCAAGTGCCCACCCTAAGTCAAGGCGGGCCTGCAGTTTCCCACATGGGAAACTGCAGGTCCGCCTGATCCAGCTTGCTAGCTGAAGAAACAGTTAACGGAGCCCTAAATTATCAGGGTAGGGTTTTTTTCATGGTCATTATAACAAACGTCCTACACCTTTTAATCCCACCAGGCTTGTCACCAGTCCATAGAGTGGACACCAAATAAACCAACAGCAAAAAAAAAACAAAAAGTAAAAAAAAAAAAAAATGGATGGATCAAAAGGGCCTAAAACCCCAAGGCAAAAGTCTGTTTTCATGCAAAATTGGCTCTTATGAGTCTTATCAGATTTTCGGGATTTTCAGGATTTTCAGGGCTGGCCAAAACAGTCAAATCCAAGACTACAACAAACACCAAACTCAGCAGCCTTCTTGTGTGCAGCGTCATGCGTTGGCTTTCAGCCAATCAGGAGGCTCCGAACAGCAGAGGCCACGTCGCCACAGTTGGAGTCGCCTAGCTGCTTCGGTCCCGGGGCAGTATCTGAATTGGGCCTGGGCACAGACACATTGGCCTGACATGAAGCTACTGGGAACCTCGTCCTCCAGCCCAGGCCACCAAGGCAGGCAAGCACTTTCCAAGTTTCCATAAAGGAAAGTGTCCTCCAGTCAGGGATTCATTCTGTCCTCTGTCATTCATGCGGCAGCGCTGCTGGTTTGAGCACTCGAGGCCGCCGGGTAGACAGGCCGGGGCGCACACGGGG